CTTTTGGTCAAGTATGATTGGAATTTTATATGGCCAAAAGGTTCGAACACTCCGACGACGACGTCAAAATGGCCAACACGTATTTTGAAGAGCAGCGGGTGGTGTGTTTGACTTTTAGTTGGTCATAGAGAGGGCTCTCATTGGATTTTTCCAGCCCTCAGCAGCTTTTGCAGAGCAAAGCAAATTGTTACCGACTGCTCTCGGTATTATTATTAATTTATGTACCGCCAAGCCAAGCCAAGCGGCGAAAGTCCGATCGAATTCAATAAACTAGTCACGTTTGTGGCACCCCCGGCTGATTCAATCCCATCGGAGACCGGAAATGAGCAGCAAGCGAAAATATCCATTCGCAATTTGTTGCTGCCGATTAATGAAGCCAAAGCGAAACGAAACGAAACGGGCTGGAAAGAAAACGCCTAATTTATGTTCACTTATCAAAATGGTGCTAATTGAAAATTAGCCTGTTATCGCGCAATTATCTGGACGCGTCCTTTCTGCACATGTGACTCCGTTGCCAATTGCCAATTTAGCCCCCTTCCACGCTGCTCATCAAGGGGAAATTCAATTTCCATAGCCGATAGATAAGCCTTGCTAGGGGTTCATATATATATTTTGATTTGTGCGAAGAGAGAGAACACATAGATTTCCGGCCCCAAACTCCCTCGCAGATAAACGTGGCTAAATTAAGAGGCACCCTTCTCCAGATCTGGCCGGAGTTAATAGACCATGGCCACGTTAAATTTATGGCCGATAAGCGGAGCAATCGAAACAGTGGCTGGAGGCACAGAGCGTGGATTGTTTTCATAATGGTGGGGCGATGATATTGCAATTGCCTGAGCAATGTTGAAAGGGACTTAACAGATTGTTGGTGTCGATATGGGACTTAATGGGAAACCGAATGGAGCAGCAGTTGGAGGCTATTGTAAGTTCTCAAAGTGGTGAGGGAAGCCCATATAATGTATAAAAAAATTTTTGGCAAACTATTGTTTAATGTAATATTAAACATCTGCCTAATATTGAACATCATGATCTAGCCAAAATTTGATAGTTAGTACTTAGGCATACATACACCGATGATAAATGCAAAAAGGCAATAAATTTATTTTTTTTTAGTTTAGTTTTAGTAAGATTGCTTGCATTTAACTTACATCTAATTCTATGGGGGTTGTGTTAAAATCTAAGTTGAGAAATGGGTTTTGAAATCAAGTTTTTTCGCTTTCTTCTGATGTATGCTTTACCTACAATAAAGGGACTATTATGTTGTTTTGTCTCACACTTTTAGAAACCCAAAACTATCATTTTAGTTCCCGACAGGTTATTCCGCCCACTTTCCTATCGCAAATCCTTATCTTTTGTCAAAATATTAACCTCGGATTCTGCGTGTATGTTCGTGTTTACAAGGCCTATTTCAATTCCTTTTTGCGGAGATGCCAACAAATTGGACAACTTAAAGAGCTCATCAAATTAACTACACGCATCTGTACAACTTTTGGCCATTTTCACTTGCTCTACATATTTATTATTATCTTTTTTTTGTACTCCAACCTCCATGCGTTTGTATGTAGTTTGTTCCTCTTCTCATTTTCATTTTGTCAGTTTTTGTTGGTCCTTCGCTCTGTGTTATCCTTGCTGACATGACATGAACTGTAGTTTATTTATTATTTCTCTGTGCCTCATTCTTCTACTGGCTTCTTTTCATTTTATTTATATCCTTGACGCATGCAAACATGTGTGCATGTATGTGTGCGAATCAGGTCATACACTCGCATACGCATGCAAATTTATTTGTTTGTCGTGTTGTTTATTGTCAATTGTTTGTGGCATTTATTCCGCAATTGTTTTCCTTTATTTTGTCACTTTATTTGCTCTGCCAGTGCCTCTGTTTCCACCGCCCGGCTTTTGTTCATTTATTTATTTATTTGATTAGTTTTTATTGCATGACAATTTTTCGTGCATATCATATAATGTTCCCTTTCTTTATACTTCAGTTTTTTGCCAAATATTTGTATGCAGATATTTTATTTACTCTCTTAATTTACGTTCTTTAAAGTTTATGGATGTGACCAAAATATTTCGCTGATAAAATTGTATCAAAGTTCTATTATAATTCAAAAAGCTTGTCGAAGTACTTTACAAATTGTTAATGTTATTATTAATTTTTAATTTAACAAAACTCTTTATTGGCATAGACTTAAAAAAATATACTTTTCTCTAAAAGCATATGTAATTTTAATTGTAATATCAACCTTTTTATCCTTCCTTTCAACTGAAATCCAATATTACCTCGATAACTTAGAGCACAGTTGGAAATACATTGGTGTCCAAATTACACATCCTCATGACCCATTTGCTTTGCGGATAATTCATTCATCGTTTGACCATCATTTAACCATTTCAAAGTCAGTTGCCGGCAAGGACTCCATCATATGGTCTGCACAAACACAATAAAGGTCCTTCCGCCAGGATCTCCAACCATTTACCCCATTGGGCTGCAATGGGATTGCATTACTTTGACTGCAGTATGCAGAGGTGGCGGGTCGAAGGTCAGGGGTTTCGGGGTTCCGGGTGTTTTGGGGGTCGGGGCTTAAGAGCGGAACTCAGGCTGTCAGGATAGCCATCCATCCGATGTTATTTGGTCGCTCAGTTGACTCCTCGCCCCCCAGTCGATTGGATTGGCATGCGGCACGTGCAACACGAACGGAGTCCCTGCAATCGTCCTGCGCATACAAAAGGAGGCCTCCTCCCCAGTCCGCCAAAAGCCGATGATGATTGGGAGCAGCCCTACACTGCGTAAAGGACCTCAACATAAAGGGTGAACAAATTGGTTGTATGCAAATATTGGCTTAATTTATATATTTCATAGCTATGTATAAGTTTTGTTTACAAATGATCATGAGTAAAATATTTCATATTTATAATTACTGATTGTCCTCCTATACCAACTGACTTTTGTAGAGGTTTCCTTTAGGTAGCTTGTTTTCAAACAGTATTTCTTAGAGTGTATGTATTGGCACCCATTTGGAAGGTGGAGATGGTCGCAGCTTCAACGCAACTCAATTATCAAACTTTTGGCTGCCAATCCGGGAACCCGCGAATCCACCTGCAGTTGGATCCGGAGTCTCCACACTCCGCGCAGACAGACTGAAACAGACGTGTGGGTTCGAAACAAACGGAAATGGATTTTTGATTGAGTGCACAATAAAATGTGAAATGCATTTCATACAGACCGAAACAAGAGCAATACACAAAATGAAACATTATAACTCCGTGAGAGGAGTTTAGTCGTGTGTACTTTATTATATTTTTTCATGAACAAAAAATATAATCACCATGCACCCACCGCCAAAAAAACGAAAGTATATTTTAATTTGGAGGGAAAATTTGCCATTTATTTGCTGGCCCCGCCGTCCATCATGAAAGTCCATTTATTTCATTACAAAGTGCATAGGTTTCGGCGAATCCCTCTCCTTCGATGTCTCCCACTGCTGGATATTATCTTCTGGCTGATGGCTCCTTCTGCTATCCACTTTATGGCGCATATTTGGCCAATTTATTGGCCGCATGGCTAACAAATTGCAAACACACAATGGCGATGGAAAATTATTGCGCCGCTCGTTCGATTGGTTGCAATGAAAAAGTTTTCCCTCCTCTGGCTTGACTTTTTCTGCATTTATAATTGGAAATCTATAAAAGGACGCATCGTAAAACGGCCCCAGCTGAAGGGTCAGCCATAAAAACCAGAAACAGTTAAGCAGAATTAAATGATGCCCTACCGGGGGAATAAAATTGATGGAAACGTATAAAATTTTCCATTTGTCTAAGTGGTAAGATAAAAATAACTGTCCAATGAAAGGGATTTTTAAAAACAATTATTTTGCATTGATATTCGGCCTACTATAATCTAAATTAAAAACGAGGGCTTGACTTATAAGAAAATGTAAATATGCTGCCAAAATCGTAGCCCAAAAAATATTAATTTAGAGACAGTTGCCTTGGAAATCGTTGCCAATTTCGACCGTTTCCCTATGGCCAAATTTGTGTAGCCAACTTCTTGGGGCAATCGCCGCAGATCGATGTCTGGCACTGGCTGACTGAGTCTCGGTCTAGACGTCGTCTAATGACAAACGCAAACCGCAAAGGACGAAGGACGAAGGACACCGAGAGAAGCGTTATGCAAGGCAGTCGAAGCCAAGTCAAATGGAAATGCCCCGGCTTCACGTCTGGCTGCTAGATAAATAAACTGAACTTTAAATGGATGCAGCGACCCATCGATGACTCTCCAATGGTCCGGGCTAATTTCGACTGACCACACTGGGAGAAAACAGGGTCTGATTTGGCTGCACTTGGTGAGTAATCTAAAAACAATAGCTATTTTGCTAAACTATACGTTTGTAGAAGAAATTTAACAATTAGTACAGGTAATTCAAATTAAAAAATACAATATAATTATTAAAAATAAAAAATATTTCTTTGTTGAAAAGTAAATAACTGAACAAGTAAATATGTAAATTATATGCAATCTATTTTTGAATTGATACAAAACAAATAAATATAATTAACTTTGTTTTTTTTTCCTGTGCAGAACAGAGGGGCAATATGAAGATATGAAGACTTTTGTTGAGCACTCGGGCGAAAGAATCTCTCTCTTGAATCGAATCGAAATTCATAAAATGCATGCAAAACAAACCGAAAAAGTGGCGCATCATCATTATTTATTCGATTTTCCCCCATCTTCAACAAGAGACTCAATCAATGACGACATCGTCGTTTAAATTTGTAGGTCCAAAAGCAGGCAAAGACGAAATTTGCATAGCTTGAAGAGAAAGAGAAAAGTGGAGCCAGTGCCAGAGCCAGACTATTGAGAAATTAATATGCAAATATCTGCCAGTAGAACTTCGCATTCGCATTGTTCCCATTCAAGTGAAATTTTCGAGCTAAAAACTTTGCCTTCTCAGGTATAAAATAGAAATCTGATGCCAAAAGCGGTTTCAGTATTATTTTCAAACACGAAACATGAAGACATCTTTGGGCTTTAATTGCGGAGGTGCGTTCTTTGATAAATTGTGGTATACCATTTGTGTTGGGCGTCAAGGATTCCCGGGGAAAGGCAACTACCCAAGTGAATGTGTGAAAAAGAAGTGATCTAAGGAAACCCAAGTGTTAGCTAGAAATTTCTAGGGGGACAGGGTAGCGTCTCCTTGCCGATTTCCACCGAATGTGCTTCTAGAACAGTCCCCGATTTCCGCGAAAGGTGGTCGGGTATCCCCTGCTGGGTTCGGCTGGAAAAATCGCCACAAAACCCAAAGGATCCGGGCGAACGGCGCTAAGTTGGCTGCCATAATTGAGGATTAGGCTGGGTACGCGTAAATCTAGCTCCGGGCCAGTCATAAAGCCATAAACGGGGAAATTCCCGGCGACCCGGATCGCAGAGGAAAACCGAATGGAGAGAGTCTGCTAAACGGTTTAAGTTTATGACATGCAAGCGCGTGACTGGCACCCGCTAATTACCGGATCTACCTGGGCGGAGGATCTACCTGCCGGTTCCGGGGTGCCTTAAAAGGACCTCGGCCCACTGGTCGAGGCATCATTTGCTCCAGAGACGTTGAACCAGCAGAACACCCACCATGGTCGACCAGCATCACAAGTCCAGCCACAAGTCAGAGAAGATTGACCACCACCACAAGTCCAGTCGCAGATCAGAGAAGAGGCGTTCCGACAAGCCGTACAAGGTGAAGAGTCACGATCCACTGAAGAAACAGAAGAAACGGGCTCTGAAGAAACTGCGTCGCAAGGCCTCCAACGTGAACTTCCCCTACCAACTGTTCCTGTACCGCCAGGAACTAAGGCGATCCAGCACCGACTTCTCCTACCTTCGCCTCTCCAAGGCCAAAATAGTGCTGACCTCGCAGCTCATTGCCAAGAAGATGGGCACCTGCAATCCCCTCAGCAGCGTGGAGGAGCTCAAGGAGCTCAGCCGCGAGGTGCAGTTCCAGAAACGCCTCTGCCATCAAGTGGAGCGCCTCCAACAATTCCGCCAACTCGGACTCACCGAGATGATCCTCAATGGCAAGAAGACGATCCTGTAGTCCGTGGAAATCGATAGGAGTACGCAAATCGGGATGGGCTGGGGCGGGGCATTATCTTAAGATAGTCGGTAGATTTTAGGTTGTAATATTTTATCAAATAAAATATCACATGAAAATAGCAAACAGTTTTTTTTTCACATTATTTTATATGTTCATCGCTTTAATAGATATTGCAAAATGTGGAACGACATAAGCCAAGCAAGCATAGTAGTGTTCTGTTCAACTACCATACCGGCATTTAATTTAATTTAGTATTCAAATTTCAAATTTATTTTTATAATAATATTTGACAATTATGAAAGCAAAACCATTTTGATTATTACTGTTTAATCAATCATCTATTACTAAATTACTAAACACTTAAATCGAAAGGACTTATGACTGACTTTTAATATATTTAACTCTGCCGCTTTTTAGTTTTGCTCCTCTGTTCAATTCTGTGCTCTGGCCAGAATCTCACAAATGAGGACAACAGCCAGGAGGTCATCAAAGTGAAGGTCCTGCTGCAGCCATCCTCATCAGATCCTTCGTTGAGTGCTTATAGTACCACGACCTCCAAGCCCAAAATCAGTCCCACAGCCAAGTCCTCAAGTCAGGCGCACGAAATCGACGAGGAGGACTACAACTTCCACAACGATCGGCTTCCCGCTTTGACAGAGGATGAGTACAACAACTTGGGCGAGGATGCCAATCCGCTGCACTTCCTCAAACAACAGCCACTAGATCTTGAAAAGGAAGAGGTGAGAAATACATTTTAATCATTAGCTAAAGTTATTTTTGAACTTAACATTCAACTTGATATAAACAACTGCTAAAAAATGTTTAATTTGATATATTTACTTATTTTTATTTTCTAAAGCAGCTGTCACCGCAAACAGTGAAAGTTGATCAGGTATGAAACCCTTTAAGAGGACTCTAAATCATTAATCATAAATCATTAATTAGCTTCTGCAATCTGATAATATTATAAACTGACTTTAATTACATATTTTTAAATAAAATTAATTTATTCTACAAATTAATAAGGTTTCAAAGGCCTATTTTTCGAACATTTTCTTTTCACTAGCATATTTATCGTTTATATAAATTGAATATTTAAATTTTTAACTTATTTGCCATTAACTATTACAATGTTGGCATAATTCATTTGATCACGTCACTGATTTTATTTTTACTTTACTTTACTTGTTGTTTTATTTTAGCCACAGCAACAACCAAGCCAGCAGATCAAGCTCCAGCCAGACTCCCCGGTGGTCACTCCGCAACCAGTCGGCTCACCCATCTACATCACCATTCCCATCTATATCAGCACGGGTGGCAAGCTGCCCCTCACCCTGACAATTGGAGATCAGGAGCTGTCCCTGAGAAAGGCCAGTGGAGCTGGCTCCAGCAGGAGAAACCCCTCGACCAAGGCACCCAACTCGCACTTTAATCGCCTGCTGCAGCAGATTGAATCTCCCAAGAGACGGACCACCAATCGCCATCGCAGCCAACTGAAGAGTCACATCTATGCGATGCAGGAGAGGAAGGATCGCAAGGATCTAGTCCATCGCCCAATGCAATAAACACTTTGGTTACAGAAAATGGCATAAAGTTTATATCTAACAATAAATAGATGACAATAAATAACTGAGAAATGATGTGTGGATCTGTGGATCTGTTTATCTGGACTAGACAGAATTGCTAGTGGTGGATTCCTCCATCTTGCCGGGTTCCATGGCCTGGGTTTCCTTTTCAGGGACTTCAGCCGGGACCTCCACTTCAGGCACCTTTTCCGGGCTCTCCACCTCGGGCTTCTTGTTATCCTCGCTGGCGGATTCCACTTCCGGGAGGACAGTGGCCGGGGTCTCCTCCTCATCGTCATCGTCGCCAATCACCTCCTCAATGGCCTGCTGGATGAAGTGCTCGAACTGCTGGAAGTACTGCAGGGCATTGTTGGCCACCTGGGCGGTGGGCAGATCCGTGGTGACCTTCTTGAGGGCATCTCGGATCAGCACGAGCACGGGTTTTCTCGTCGGAGCTGCCCCAGTGGTGGCATCCACCTTCTGCTCCTCGGTTGGCGCTTCAGTGGCTGTCTCCTCCGCAGGTTCCTCTGTGGTTTCCGCCTCACGACGCCTGCGGACATTCTCCTCCTCATCCTCATCGTCATCGTCATCCTTCTCCTCATCTTCATCCGCCTCCTCACTGCTGTCACTACTCGAGTTGTGAACCTCCAGTTGCTCCTCTGTCTGTTTGGAAACCGAAAGCTCGGGACTGGTGTCGATTTCCGATTCCGCCAAAGGAGCTGCTCTTACAGAGCAGGCCAAGACGAGCAAAGTGGCTGTTTTTAAGGGGAGGTTAGTTATGAGTTAAGTTATAAAACAGCAGAGCAGAATATTAGCTTACCGAGGGCCAGGTAGATGGGTCTAACCATTGTGCTAATCCTTGCTTTCCAACTGTTTCCGTAGTGGACTTTTGCAGTTTTGCGGTCTTTATGAGCAAATCCAGCGCTCTGCTTTCGCTTTTTATAGCCCCGTCCAAAAATGAAAGTAAATGCGAGCAAACAAGGCGATCCGCGGCCCAAACGCTCCGCTCTCTTAGGGAGATCTTGGCCCGATCTCTGGTGCGGACTAACCAGAGCGTTGTCCAGCCGCTTTTACTGCACCCAAGCTCTCTTTTTCTGGGGTTTCATTTCTTTCCTCCCACCACGGAGCCAGCTCATTTGATTTTGGTTTCTTTCTTTTTAAGTTGAGCTTCTTTTGTTTACCCGGTGGCTTACAGAAAAACCGAAATCATTTATTCAAATTTTCTGTCTTTCTGTTTTTTCTGGCAGCTTCTTTCATAAGCCCGTTGATTTGTGTCGCTGGGATCTGTTTGCCAGAGACATTAGCGCCATTTGGCGAACCCAGCTCGACGCTTCGGCTGATAGGCAAAACTGCTTACAAAATCACTTAGTCTCCACACATTTCTGGGGGAGCCGGTCGGTCAAAGCCCTAATTATGCAATTAGATACGCTTTGATCGCCCCCAACCAGGCGATGGTGCATCACAGATCGCAGGTTAACTTTCTAATGCTAATGGGAAATTTGAAAACTTTTCCATGGCATAAGCATTTTAAAATCAACAAGAAGTGATCACGAGCGGAATGAGTCATCAAATCGATCGGTGGTAATAATAAATGCAATTATGGATGGCCCATTGGATTAATAAACAAATATTCAGCGATTTATAATCATTAGAGAGCGAGTTTTGGATATTGTTTGTATGCTATATATCAAAGTTAGTATTGATAAAGATCTATTACACTGGTAAAAAAAAAAATGGAATAGTATAAATACATATATGACTATTGAACTCAAAACTTTATATTTTTATACTAAAAAGCAATGCATATTAAATTGCATTATTTAATATTAAAATAATTTTGTTAATGTGGAACATATTAAATATAAAAAAGGTTTATATTGATTTAATTTCAGATATATGAACGTTTTTTTACCAGTATATTTAAACTTAAATAATGCTTGTTAATGGTTAATGAATTAATCTTATATATCAAATTAGCGACATGAAAGTGTTTTATTTTAATGGTAGTTGTAGCCAATTGGCTCTAGAAGCTTAGAAGTTCTTTTGTTACCCAACTAAATGTAAGCTGATCCCTTAGCTAAAAAGATCACTCAAGTTTCTCCTGATCCCCCTCTAATTAAGACCACAGTTCCAATCGTCTTGACCAGATTAAAGATCAGCAGAGATCGGCAGAATGACAGAATAAGACCGCTTGATTGGATTGGATGGATTTCCGGCGAGCGAGTGCAGCTGCCGGCGATCGCGACCAGAAGAAGCCCATAAACTAACAACAACCAGATCACCGAACCTTTCCAGATTGACCCAATTTCGTAAAACCGGCTGGCGAGAGACTAAGAGGCTGGGCGTCGAATGGAGGGCATCGAAGGTGTTAAGCACATAACCAGTTCCAGTTCCATTCTAGATGGCTATCGCCATCGAGGCAAGGGTACGAGCACATGAGTTTGCATAAAATTTCACCAAATAAGATAGTACTTTCGTTGGGGTCTCGAAGCGGCGCGAAGTGTAAACAAACCGCAGAGGAGAAGATTACTGGCCATCTGCAGTGCGATCTGAAAACCGGTAAAGAATTCCCCGGCGAGTGGCTAAGACTGGTACTTAAGCACCGCTGGCCACAAGATGCGATCAGTTGTTGTGGAGACGAGCAGCTGACCAGATCAACATGAGGCCATACCAAATTGCTTGTATCTTAGGTGAGTCTTGGCTATCGATCCTCTGGACATTCTCTAATCTAAATTATTTATTTCTGTAAATCAGTAACTGCCTTGCTGCTTTTGGAGGCTGCACCCGCGGAGGCGAAGCGTCGCAAGCACAAGGGCTCCTCCGATCACCATGGCCATGAGAAATCCGATGCCCACCAGACCAAGACGAAGACCAAGTGGTCCAGCTCCACGGATCTGGCCGGCAGCACCCAGGTGTCCACCGAGGAGCATGGCTACTATGTGAAGCGCACCTATGCAGCTCCTAGAGAGTCGGGCGCAATGCACCAAAAGCGTCTTAGCCCGCCTTACTTGGCCATTCCCATTGCCTGGTTCAGCTGTGAGTCTGGACAGAAGGATTGCCAGAGCTCCAATTCGGCGGCCATTAATAGTGCGGCCCAATCGTTGAGCGAGGGATACTTGTGCGACGACGATTGCGATGAGCTGTACGAACCCATCTGCGGCCGGACATCTTCCGAGGTGGCCGTCTTCTATAACAAGTGCAAGCTGGGCGTGGCCAAGTGCCGATCCCACGGCCTTTGGACGGACTTCTCCTACTCCGAGTGCCAGGCGAAATACGCTCAGGAAACTGCCTACGCCGACAAGAAGTTCCGTGCATCGCCTTACTTCCGGGATGCGGCCATCGTGGAGCAACTGAAGCTGGAGGAGGAGAAAAAGATGCAGGAGGAGGAGCAGCAGAAGCTGGAGAAGGAGCAGCAGAAGCTGGAGAAGGAGCAGCAGAAGCTGGAGAAGGAGCAGAAAAAGCGGGAGAAGGCTGAGAAAAAGAAGAAGGAAAAGGACAGCAGTGAGAGCAGTGAAGAGAAGGAGGACCAAAAGGTACCGCTCGAGGAGGAGTCCTTGACTCTGAGTCTTCACAAGCCAATGGAAACTCCTCTGGTCCCAGTGCCAGTGGCTGTCCAGTCGGCAATGTCCAATGTAGAGCCTGCAAAGACCACCGAGGACATCGCCCTGCCACCCATGCCCTTGAAAGACGCTCCCACCCCCAAACCGATCCAGATTGCGCCCCTGAAGGAGCAGACCGAGCAGACCGAGCAGACCCCACCCAAGGATAATGATAAGCTCAAGTACCATGTAGCTTAGTCTATTAGAAGCTAGGAAAATCTCATATTAGTATAACTATTTATTTAATTTATTACAATAAAAAGCTTTAAAATCATTAAAATCGTTTTTGTTTTATTTAAACTGGTTTGCCTTTATTGACTTAAATTGTTGAGTTCAAATTCTTGGAACTCTAGCCTCCAGTTTAATGTAGCTCAGGCTATGAATAGTTAATTATTTAATTAATCGATTTTTTTAATTTGTTACATAAAAAAGCTACAAAACCATTAAAGCGTTTACTAGTTTGCCCTCTTTCTTTTACTGACCATTTCGGAGAACAATAAATTGTTCCGTGTATGTTCCGCGAAGAAAATATTCCCTTATAGAATTGCAGAATGGAATACCACAATACTTGAGGCTTATCACGACTAAAATGACAGAGTGTTTGGGGCTCTGAAATTGACCCTTGATAAGCATTATTTTTAGCATTACATTCTGAACTTTGTTTTTTGCGAGATTTGATCTTCAGATGCTGTCCTCGGAAATATAATGCTTACCCACTCCATAAAATGTTTTTGATCAAAGACAACTGTGCGTATGAGTGATAAATTTGCAATTTGAGAGTAGGTCCTTAAAATTGGCTTACAAATTTGGACCGCCTTAAAGTACATTCAGAAAAAAACCGCTAAAAACGATTGTGCTTAATTTAAGATAAAAATTTAAATAAAGAAATCATTTTTAAAATACTAACACTTAAGAACAAAAGATTCCAAAAAACTTAACGTAATGAAAAATATATTTAATTAACAATAAATTTGTTTATATCCTATAATGCTTTATATTATAATTTCCCAATCAACAACTAATTAATTACCTTTTAAACCTTTGAAAAACAAATGGACGAGATATTTAAAAAAAGGTAGTAATGGTCTTAATTAAAAAAAAAATGGTTAGAAAAAAGAAAGCAATGTGTAATTCAGTTTTGGTTTTAGTTTTTTGATATATGTTTTTGATCATATTTCGATAGTACTACGCACATATTCTATTGAGTCAAAGATACTTCATCTCTGTGCCACGTACTTTTATGATACGAATGCATTAGTTACCTTTTGAGTTATAGGTGCAAAGTTACTCCAAACTACTCTAAACTTTTTTTCCCTTCCAATCAGACCCTTTAAACAACATTCGTAAAGACAAATTTCACTCTTTTCCAATTAAATGGAGAATTCAGAGACGAAACAGTTGGTTTCAAGTGCATTGACCCTCGAAACGAGTTCCATAAACTGATTGAAATCAGAAGCTTGAAAGGGCCCATCATTCCGGGACAGGCACTAAACCTTAAAACTAATTTTATGTGGGATGGACAATGCAACAGGTTGCAGTTGGACCGCCTATAAAAGAATGGGAGTTGGTGTCTCACCTCACAGAAGTTGAGCAACTGCAATGGGAGATAGAAGTTTCGGAAAACGATTCTGGAAGATTCAGCTATTGATCCTGCTTAGTGGAGGTTAGAAATTCAAGTATTTTAAGATGTGATCTCATCCTTACAACTTTTCTTAGTTCTACTCACCGCTACAGCTGCTCCAGCGGAGGCAACCGAAGATGTGACCCATCCGCCACCCGATCAGGTGCAAACGGAGTCCCGTTCCCGCACTGATGATGTCCTGGATGTGGACGAGGACCTGGACGGACGCAATGCCTATATCAACAATCAGTTTGTGCCCAGCGAACCAGCTGAAGTGCTGGAGGAGGAGCAGAACGCCCCACTCTACGAGATCCTGCAGAAGCAAATGGAGCAGGTGCTGGCCTCTGCGGCTCCCAGCGATCCTGTCTACGAGCAGCGGGAAAAGCAGGAGCGACGCGATCAGGAGCCACCACCATACTTCTCCGGCGGAGATCGAGAGGCCGATGTGCAGGACGACTACGAGGACGAGGAGGATCAGTCGGATCCGAGCTATCCGTTGGACCCGGAAAAGCCGGATGCGGTGGCAGTCTCTCCAGAAGATGAGGATCAAAACGAGGCGGGCTACCAGGCACCCTCATTGAGCCTGCCCAGCAGCACCACTCGCAGACCTCACCGGCGACGTAGCACAACCACCACAGCTCATCCGAGAACAACGAGGCCAAGGACCTCGGCCCAGCCCAGGATTACGGCCAGACCCTCGAACCAAACCAGCACCACTGAGCCAGCACTGCCACCACTGCCACCGGTGAGCACGACCAGCCACCGGCCCAAAATCAGTTCCAGTTCCAGTACCAAGGCAAATCCC